GTGATATTCAGCAATGAGGTATGTAGCACTTTTTCTAGGATGAGTTTGTGAACTTAATTGTCTGACCTTGTAGGTCTGTAGAAAAGAAACTCAGGTCGTAACAACAATGACATGAATAATGCTAGAACCAAAATCACAGAAAAAATATCAAGTAGATTCGGCTCAGTCCTTCATGTTTGTAGCAGATACCTACAAGTTTTATCTGTATGCTTCACTTTGGTTTTGAAGGTCATGAGATACAGACTATAATTATTTAGGCAGAGTGAAGTAAAAAACTTAGGTAGTTATATAAAGTTCAAGATTAAATAGAAGCAGTATTGAAATCAGAAATCTAAATGGGATATTACCTTCAACCACCTAGATCAGGGGTCAGCAGGACTATGGACCAAATCGGCCCTCTGTCTGTTTTTATAAATAAAGTTTTATTAGCACAGTCCCTACAACAGCAGAGTAAACAGCTGTGACAGACACCGCATGGCCTGCAGAGACCAAAATACTGTCTGTACTTTACAGAAAAGTTTGATGACCCCAAATTTAGGTAACTGCTAAAATTTTTCATTTGATTTCTTAAGGCAACTTTACAATATATTTATATTTTAAAGACTTGAGAATATGTATATACCAGTCTAAGAAGAAGATAAGTCCAACTTCGGTTAGAGCTATGGAGATACACATGCTTTTTTTCTGCTATAGGAAGAATTAAATAAAATTTTATAAGACTTTAAGTCTAGCATACTTATGAGTCTCGATGAAAAGTTCAAATAGTTTTACACAGATACATACATAATGATGGTAACTTTCCTTCCAAGTTTAAGTTAGGGAGTTAGAGCACATATACTGTTTCTGGACTCATGGGTCACAAAACCCGAGTCAGAGCACCATTATTAGAAAGCTAGAAATACTGCGATTGCTGGGCTGGCACTGAATTAGCTCTGAGCACATTCTGAGCACACTCACCACTTCACGAAGTGGAGAGGAGGGGTAGGGGTGGCCTGCTGCTCACCTGGAGGCGTGTAGGCATCCATCGAGGTCTGTACCACCAAGGACCTGCGTTTGGAAGGCATAGGCACTGCCATCTTCCTTTCTTTGTGTTTCGCAAGCGCTGCCTGCACAGCTTCTGTGTGGACGTCTAAACAAAAAGAGAGCTCAATGACCCCATTGTTCAGAGACATCGCAAAGTCCCCTTGCTTTTCTCCGCTTTCTCTGGCCCTGTGGAATAGTTTCTCTTCCGACAGACACTGTCACATGTGGATGGGTGGGGACGGGAGGAAAAGTGTGAACCTGCTAGCTTGGAAGCTCCCACAAAAGACATGCAAATTCACTCACAGACTTTTAATTATTCATTCTATTACCCTAGACTGCAGATGGCTCTGTGATTTGTCTTTTCTTAGAGTGAGTGGGCCTGGACCTTCAGATAGTTCTCAGTCACATTTTCAAGCCTCATAACTCATTTCACTGTTAAGGGAGGTATGTGGACCTTACAGGCCATTGGTAATGACTTCCGCTAACACTCACAGGCACTCAGTTATGGGCAGTCACTGCTGGTGTTTTGTGTAACTGACCCATGGCATTAATACCACAACTACATGAGGCCACATCCTCAGGGCGGTGTGGTGGACAATCAGGTGGGGGGAGACCTTTGGGTGGAGTCCTCACTCTCTACTGGGCAACACAGACCACCGAGGAGCGAATGGGCAGAGACTTGGAACAGGGAGAAAGGATTGACTGCAAGGCTACTTCCTTGTGAGGCCCAGGGCCTCTCTCA